GGGCTTCTATATATGAGAAAACTAACAGTTTTTGTAGTTTCTTCCCAAAATAATTTGGGAAGACCAGAACCTAACAACATGCATCTAACTTTTTGAAGGATAGTTTTGTTCATTCTTTCAACCAAGTCATTTTGTTGTGGGTGTGTGTTACTGTTCTGTGTCTTAGAATACCATGCAATTTGTACAATTCATCAAATTCATAATTGCAGAATTCAAGCCCATTATCAGTCCTTAATACTTTAATCTTTTTATTTATTTGATTCTCAATCAAGATTTTCCATTCTTTAAAAGTATTAAAAGTGCCAGACTTAAGTTTAAGAAGAAAGAGCCAGTTTTTTCTAGAAAAATCATCTATGATTAACAGGAAAAATATGAAACCAGTATGTGTGGGCACTGAAACTGGTCCCCAAAGATCAACATACAAATATTCAAGAATAAACATAGGTTTATGCATCCCAACCAGAAATGGTAATCTATTTTGCTTTCCTAGTATGCAATGAGCACAAAAACTGAGTTTCTTAATCACATCTTTAACAAAGACACCTTGTTTTTTTAAAATCTGTAGGACTTTGTCACTAATATGGCCTAATCTTTTATGCCATATTTGTGACCTGTCATTGGGGATAGAAATTGCTGCTAATGTGGAGTCAAAAAAGTTTTGTATATGAAAAATGTAAAGCCCATGTCTCTTGGGAGCTCAGCAATACATTGAGAGCCTCTCAAGATTTTAATGTATCCCTTGTTAATTACAATATTGTAATTTAGGTCATCTAGGACACCTAAGGAAATCAAGTTTCTTAGGCCTTTTCTAAATTCATTCATTATTACCATTAAGCCTTAAAGTGATTGTTCCTATTCCTTTTACCTAACATGACATGTGATTACCCATTAAAACTTGGCCACCATTTACATTTTCAAACTCAGTAAACCATTCTCTTTTAGGAAACATGTGAAAGGTGCAGCCAGAGTCAAGGATCCACTCCCGACTAAGTGGACTGTAAACAGTAACATAAACTTTATCTATGTTAGACTCATTATTATAGGCCAAAGCAACACCACCATCATTGTTAGACTTATTCCTCAAACCATTAAGCCTCTTATGACAATCTTTGATAAAATGACCTTTACCTAGATAGTAAAAAGACATTTTACCGTTTTGTCTTGTTTCTTATTTTATCTTTAAAGTTCACCTTCTTCTTGGGTCCTGGTTTCTTATTGAAGTTGACAATTTTTGGATTTAGTTTGGACTTAGCCATCAAGTTTTCACCAGTAATAGATTCTCTTTTGTCAGATTTTAACTCTAACTCTTTGTTTCTCAAAGCATTTATTATCACATCAGTAGTTAGAGTCTCACTCCCATATTCAGTAATATTTTTAACATCTCTATATTTATCACTTATTGAATTTAACAGGACCACAACCAACTGATCTTTTGAGTGCTTCTCATCACAGTCAGCTAGATCACGGGATAGTCTATTGAATCTGTTTAAC